CTAAAAAATAAATATTAAAAATTCTCTCTCTCTCTCTCTCTCTCTCTCCTCTCTCACTCTCTCTTTAAAAAAAAAAAAAAATAAAAAAAAATAAAAAAAATAAAAATAAAAATGTGGTGGATGAAGATTGCTTTAAAAAAAAAATGGAGGGCTGGGGTTGTGGCTCAGTGGTAGAGCACTTGCCTAGAATGTGTGAGGCATTGGGTTCGAGTCTCAGCACCACATACAAATAAATAAATACAATTTAAAAATTCATCAATAACTAATAAAAATATTAAAAAAAAAATGGAGCACCCAGTGGGCAATCGGTACATAAGTTACCTTAGAAATGAATGAATGGAATCAATGACTGGTTAGTCCACTGCGGCTGGGATGGGGACACACATTAGAAAGAGGGTCCAGGACTGCAGCAGCGCACCGTCCACTGTTTCATCACCAGGTTCCGCTTTGCGGGGTGCCCAGTATGCCTGGCCCCACAGATGTTTCCCTTGGGGTTCTGCCCCCACCCGCCCACTGTTCTCATGGGAAATCCCCTGGTATTCCCTGGGCAGCGGTTCCCCACCTCTCTCCAGCTGTTCTCCACCTCTGCAGTTGGAAGCACAAGGGTCTTCTGAGGAAGGCCAGAGCCAGGTCAACCTGGGGCCCACCCCGTTCTGGCATGAGGGGTCAGTGGGGTTGAGGCTGAGAGGGACTCCACAGTCCCAGCCCCTCTACTGGTGGCCTGAGCAAGCAGGCCATGGAGCTGCTGGGACTAGGCCATCAACTTCATTTGGGACTTTCTACTTCATGGTCATCACAGGTGCTTGTGAGTATGGGTTTCCAGGAGCTGAGCCACCCGCCACAGGCCCCTGTCTCTGCTTAGCCCTGAGCTCGCTGTGACTTTGCCCAGCATCCTCCATGCTGGTCCTCCAAGTAGAAAGGGTTTCCATCCAAGCTGGTCATTTCTCAATATCAGGACAGTCCATACTCCTTTCAAAGCTGAGCAGTGTCAGGGCTGGGATAGGGGACCCAGGTGTTCCTTGCTGGGGATGCTGGGATAGTGAGGAGGGACAGAGTGAGTCCTGCAGAAGTCAGTGGGAAGCCCTCATGGCGGCCCCTGGCAGCACCCGAGGCCTGACTTGCAGCCTCCCCAGCTCTCCTCCTCCGGAGCTGGTTCTCCACGGACCCAGCTCCTTTCTGCCCTCAGGCTCCTCGGGCTCTGGCTCCCTTCAGGAGAACCAAGTCGGGATGGAGGTGCCTGCCCGGTGAGAGATGTGAAAGTCCGGGGTCCTGCGCAGGAGCTCTCGGAACTGACAGGAGGGGGTTCCGGAGACTAACCGGGAAGCACTGAAAACAGTGTCAGCTGTGAGGGTGGCCCTTCAGCTACCTCAGGAAGTGACCAGCCTCTTGTCACCTCCTGCCCTAGGAATGGGGAAGTTCACAGGATCCTGGCTGAGTTAGAGGGAGCAGCAGGAACTAGGGGTCTCCTCTCCTTGAAAAAGCACCTCCCCCATGTCCCCCAGACTAAAGGCAGGAAGAGAAAGATGGAGAAGGGCTTCAAGGGGAGGCTGGACTCGATGATTGGTCAGGTTGCTGCAGTGGATGGGCAGCACCATGCCCCAGGGGAGGAGCCTCCCACCTCCCCTGCTCCACGCTCCTGCCCCAGGTCCCCCAGGGCACCTGGTCTTTGCTCTAGGGTTTGGGGAAATGCACGGTGGGGGTGTGGGGTGCAGCGGGAAAGGACTGAGAGGGCAGGACGCCACCGCACACACATTCCTTGTGCTGTGGACACTTTCAAAATGCCAGTTGGCTTTTTGTCTCCTCCAACCAAATTTCCTGGGTACCAGTCTACATCAGTCAGAGACCAAGACTGGTGAGAACCTCCCTGTGTGCCTTCAAAGGGCACCTGCAGCCTGGGGGTGGGATGGAGGGGACAAGGACCAGTATAGGGAGAAGGATGTCAGGAGATCTTTCCCCCTAAAGGGCACAGACCCTGTGGGTTTGAACAGTGTGGTGGAGTATGATGCATCTGCAGAAAGTTCTGGGACACAGAGTGGCAGTAAAGTGGTCTGACAAGGTGGGCGGGGCTGACTGGCTAAAGGGCTGCTGAGCCAAGGGGTGGAACTTTCCCTGAAAACTACAGTAGGGAGAGAACCGGAAGTGTGGCCAAGGACAGGGGGAGGGGGAGCTCAGAACAGGTGAGTGGCCTTGGACTTGCTAATGCAGCAGTCACTGGCCAATGATGGGCAGCACCAGAGGTTGAATGGAGGGCAAGCATGAGCCTGTGGTGTCCCCTCAAGATACTGTTCTCTGAGCAGGATCAGCTCTTCCCAGGAGGGGAGAGGAATGGATGGATGAATTCAGGGTGATGGACGTGGGGTCTGGGCTCCACACTGGTTGGATAGTTTGTTGGTCAGAGTAAGACAGCCATTTAAAAATGCTTTCCATGACGACAAAGAGCAGCTAGCTATTTTTTTTCTTCCTTCCTTCCTTCTTTCCTTTGCAGTATTAGGGATTGAACCTGGGGTCTACCACTGAGCCACGTCCCCAGCCCTTTTTTATACTTTTATTTAGAGATAGGGTCTCACTGGGTTGCTTGGGGCCTTGCTAAGTTGCTGAGGCTGACTTCAAACCTGCAATTCTTCTGCATCAGTCTTCCAAGTAGCAGGGGTCACAGGCGTGCCCCACTGCACCTGGCGGCCATTAGCTATTTATGGAACTTAGGGTTTCAGTCCAGAATACTGGTGAAAAGTCCCTTCCCGCTGTGCTGTTTCTAGAACTGTAAAACAGAGGATTGGACTAGACTATCCCTAAAACGCTTCTAACTCTGTCAAGCAATGATTCGCTGCAACCATCTTATTTATAGCCTCTTCTACTAAGTGCTGTGACCACACATTCACCCACGGGTGCCTCACAGACGCCTGTCACTGCACCGATACAATACATCGTCAGTGCCTGCTGCAGTTTTTGATCTGGACTATTCCCTAAGGACTCCTGTGTTAAAGGCCTGGTCCCCCCTGTGACCCTATGGGAGGCGGTGGAAGCCTTAGGAGGTGGGTCTTAGTGGGAGGTCTTCAGGTCATTGGGGACATGCCCTTGGTGGGGACAGTGGGATCCCAGCTCCTTCCTCTGTTTTTTTTTTCCCCTCATTTGCTTCCTGGCCACAAGGCAAGTGACTCTGCTTTCCCAAGGGCTCCTGCCAGGTTGTGCGGCCTCACCCCAAGCTGGCAGCAGTGTGCCAACCATCAGGAACAGAAACCTGCAAACCGCAGGTCAAAACAGACCTTTTCTTTTCTTTTTGATATTTATTTATTTATTTATTTATTTAGTTAGTTAGTTAGTTATTGGCGGACACAACATCTTTGTTGGTATGTGGTGCTGAGGATCGAACCCAAGTCGCACGCGTGCCAGGCGAGCGCACTACCGCTTGAGCCACATCCCCAGCCCCCAAAACAGACCTTTTCTCTAACTTGGTTATCTCAGGCTGTCGGTGCCATGGTGGGCGGGGAGTGCGGTGACCAACCTGTTGACTGAGTGATACCCAGGAAGCCCCTCCCTCCGCCTCCCTAGCCATCTTCATATGAGGTGTTTGGGGACAAGATGCCAACCCCATTCTCATTCACCACCTCCCTACTGTCCTGGCCCATCCTGCAGTCTAAGGTGACCATGACCGAGAGAGTACTGCCCATCGCAAAGAGGGTGGGTCCTATGGGGACCCCTCAGCTCGGAGCTCAGTTGTCATCTTGGATGTTACTTTTAGGTTTTCTCCTAAGGGTTTTATAATTCATTTTTTCACATTTGTGAACTCATTGTCCTGGATGGTGTGAGGCTGGGATTGGACCTTATTTATTTTTCCCATTGGTTGGTCCAAGGCCCAAACACTGAGGAGCACGTGCGCTTCCTCTGGCTCCGGCCACGCTCCTGTCACGCAGGGTCTGTTCCTTGGCACCCTGCTGCGTTCTGTTCGACTTCCTAACTTACTTCTCCTGAGTGATCTTCTTTCAGGGCACCCAGTTACCTTTGTGTGTGCTGATAGGACCCAGGATTTCTCTTGCAGTCCAGTTTTTCCAAATTGTCTTAGTTATCCTGGGTATTTTATTCTTGTGATTCCAGAATGAACTTGTCTAGTTGTTTTAAAGTGGTTAGCTCCTCTAAGCCTCCATTTCCTTTCCCATGACCTACACCTCCCACGATGACCAAGACTCCGTGAACGCAAGGCCTGGGACTAAGCCCTGGAGCAGTGTGAGCACTCCGTAGAGAGTGGTATCATTGTCCCCAAATGCCCGAGCCAGTGCAGTCACCGCTGCTTTAAAGCCTCGTTGGCTTCCCAGTCATGCAGAGTAAAGTTCAAACGCGGCCAGCCAAGCCACTGACCCCAGCCTACCTTTCCCACAGCATCGCCTGGCCCTCTCTCCTCCCTGCCCACTATGACCATCAAGTTCCAGATACCTGCCCTTCCCCCGGGGTCCCTTCAGCTGGGGATCCCCTCATCCATCCCAAATCCTCTCAGATGATGCCTCTTTTGGGAAGGGGGAAGGGGTCGGTCACCCCCTCGATCTTCTTTTCTTGCATGTGACTGTGTCGCTGTGACTCTATTTATATAGTAAACTCAGCACAGCCCTGGGCATTTCCCAAGCAGGTGCAGCACATAGTGATCACACCCCAACTTTGGTGCCATATACTCCTTCACTTATTATTAAACACAGCAGTCATGGATGGCAACATGTCAAGATCACGGAGCCTGTCAGCAGCGGAGCTGGGACCCGCACCTGGCTGAACTCCAGCGCCCACACCTGTCACACCAGGCAGCCTTCCCATGAATGTGTCCCTCCCCCTTTTCTGATCTGCTCTCTGTCCCATTCCTCCATTATCCTCTCAACAGGGCTCTGCAACATCAGCACCCCCCCGCCTCCTGCAGCTTATTCTACCCAGGCTGTCACCTCTCCCGTTTCACGCCATCTGTCACCCAAGCAGGTGCCTCTGCGAGGACTGTGTGTCCTGGTTTTAGCACATTGCTGGTATTCAGGACACAGAACATGGGGCCTCATGGCTTCACCTGCAGATGCTGAGATGTTAGCTGGGTGTCACAAGACCAAGGAGAGAAAACAAGCCCTTCACACTCTAAATCTGCCTGAAACCAGGAAGCAACCAAGGCCGTGGCTTCCATCGCAGGCTTCAGGTCTGTGCGGAGGGGAGTCAGCCTGAGTGGAGGATGGGCGGGAGTTCTGCCAAATCTGAGCCGGCCTGGGTGGTCAGAGCACCAGCACGACAGCGAAAGGCCGCAGGAGCGCACAGCCTGTCCCTGTGGTCAGAGCTGCACTGGGGTCCTTCAAGATCATTTCCTCTCCTCACTCTTGCCCCAAGTTTTTTGGGGCCACTTTTATGTTTCTCTCTTTAGCCACAAAGTCCTGCAGGCCACAGAAAGAGGACTCCACACTCTGCCTTTACCCTGAGAATGGAATGAAAATCAGATGACATGCGGTAGATGTGACGTTGATGAGCCACACACCTGTACAGCGGTCCACAAGAATGTGACATGGGTAAGTGGGGTGTTTCCAGAACACCCCATCTGATTGGAAGTGGCCCTGTCAGCACCTCCGGGCTTTGTCCCATGCACACAGACTCGGGCACAAGGAAGACTCCTTTAACTAGAGCAGGGGGGGGGTGATCATCGTGACAGGGACAAGGCAGCCTGCACAGTCAGGATTTAGGAGGAGGTGCTCCGATGGGCAGAGGCCATCTGTCCCATGTGGAATGAAGTGGAATCAAGTTCACCAACTTTCTGTTTCTGGCTATTCACAGCCATTCAACTGGGTTTGACATTTATCACCACAGAGACACGCTGACTTCATCTGGGCCCATACATGAGCCTCTGGGTTAGGTTTGTGTGGCTCTTGTCCTGGATGTGGCCCCCTTCCATTGACCACTCAGCTTTCTTGGCTTATGAACGCTGGCCAGTGGTGACCCCAGTTTTGCCTTGAGAAGCCAGCCCGGGCCTGGGGGCACGCAGTGACCTGATGGTGATGAGCTGTTGATTCTTTTCCTCCCCCTCTTCTCCCCAGGTCCCCTCTTTCAGACTGCACCGCCTCTTGCACGGCAGGTCACAGTGGCTTCTAGAAGGCCTCTCAAAACCCTCCTCCTCCCTCAGGGAGCAGGCTAAGGCTGTGTGACTGCCTTGCTCAGGAATATGTCATGTGCATGAGGTCAAATTTATCCCTGGTTTTTATGGTGTGATTATCTATCAGTCATTTGGGGGGTAGCACTGAGGCTTGAACCCAGGGCCTTGTACACTAAGAGCAAGAGCTTTACCACTGAGCTACAGCCCCAACTCTTTTTTTTAAGATTTTTTAGTTGTTAATGGATCTTTTATTTTATTTATTTGTGGTGCTGAGGATCAAACCCAGGGCCTCACACATGCCAGTCAAGTGCTCTATCCCTGAGCCACAGCTCCAGCCCCCCAATTCTTATTAAAAATTTTCTTTTGCTTTAAGTATATCTTTTTAGTTGTACGTGGACACAATGCCTTTATTTTCATGTGGGGCTGAAGATTGAACCCAGGGCCTCACATGTGCCAGGCAAATGCTCTACCACTGAGCCACACCCCCAGCCCCACCCCCCTTAAAATATTTTTAAGTTGTAGATGGATACAATATATTTTATTTATTTTTATGTGGTGCTGAGGATGGAACCCAGTGCCTCACATGTGAAAAACAAGGCTCTACCACTGAGCCCCAGCCCCAGCCCCAATCCCAACCCCTCTTTATTGAGACAGGGTTTTGCTAAGATGCTGAGGTTGGCCTCAAACTTGGCCTCAGCCTCCTGAGTGGCTGGGATTACAGGCATATGCCACTGTGCCCATCTGGTTTTCCATAATTTGACCCCATTGTACTATTTTTCATTATACTTCAAAGTGTTTTTCTTCCTGTCTGGGGCTCAGAGGGACAGCTCACTTACTGCTACTTGCTCACAATATCATCTATCTGTTTTCCTCTGCCTACAAGCCTTACCTGCTGTGTATCTTCAAAAAGTGGTATTTGTTAGCCAGGTGCAGTGGTGCATGCCTGTAATCCCATCAGTTTGGGATGCTGAGACAGGAGGATCACAAGTTCAAAGCCAGCCTCAGCAACTTAGGCCCTAAGCAACTCAGTGAGACCCTGTCTCTAAATGAAATATTAAAAAAGGGCTGGGGATGTGGCTCAGTGGCAAAGCACCCCGGGTTCAATCTCCGCTAACAAAAGGGGGGGCACTTATCCTTGACTCCACCCCCACACAGGAAAGCTGCTTCTTGCTGTCTCCCTCATCCGGAATGAAGCCCAGCTCTTTCCGCTCCCTGCTGACAGGCCCTCCTCCACCCCAGGCAGCAGTGCTGGCTGACACTGGCTTGTCCACTGTGTTCTTCAGTTTTCCAAATGCTAAATCTTCCACAGCTACCCTTGACCTCTAGGGCAATTTGCAAGAACCCCAGAGAAGCAGGGGGTGACATTTAAAGACTGATATGAAGGACTCACGGTAAACCCTTGAGAGAAGAGACCGGATGCTAACAGAGTGTGAAATACTGGCTTTTATTGGTTGGCACAGGATTACAGCCCATGTCCCATGCCCGCCCTCCCCCATGGCTCACATGGAAGGAACCAGTGGACACAGGGAAAGGCGGCACTCACAGGCTCCAGCGTTTGTTTTTACAAAAAGGAGTGGGATTCGGAGTGGAGGGTGCCGGGAGTACCAGAGCTCTCCCTAGACTTCAGGGGAGGCTTGGTCCCTATTGCAGGCGCCACATAGGGAGGTGTGTTAGTGAAGCAGGGGAGGGCCACACACGGCTGGCCCGCTATGGGGGAGGGGGATGGCATCTGCCACGCACCTGTCTAGGGCTATTCTGGGGTCCGGCCAGCGTCCCTTTCTTCTCTGCTCCCCTCTCCTCTCCTCCACAGTGACAGCGCTGCTGGCTGCACTGTGGGGAGGAGAAAGGAGGAAAGCCCTGAGGGAAGTGAACAGGAAACTTCACCTTCTCGAGGCCAGTTTCCATCCCCCCAGAGAGCACTGCTGTCCTCAGGAGCGCTGGGCAGACACTGTGGAGGAGGCCAGGCCTGTGGTGGCCATGCACAGGCGGGAAAGTGCTCTCCATGCAGTGCCAAGCAAGGTTGTTTGGGGGACAGGAAGGAGGAAAAAAAAGAAAAAACCCACAGGCCGGGCAGCTCATCAGTCCCAAAATGCATCTGGATCAGGGCAAGGGCAGCAGCACCCCAAACCCCCATTTCATCTCCCACACCAGGTGCTGAGGTTCAGTGGCCACACTACCCTGTCCTTCCCCGTACAGGCTGCTCCTTGGACTCCCCAGTCCTGTCCTGATCCTCTGGGGTCGTTCCTGCCCCCAGGACTCAGCCTGCTGGTCGTTCCACTTTCTACAACCATGAAACAGCCCGAGCGGGTGGTCCCTGGCGCTGCGTCTCAGTCCCAGAGACACGGGTGGCCTTGGCCGTTTATACCTCAACCAAAATGCCTGAGCACCAGGGAAAGGGACAAGACAGACTTGTGTCTTTTGTGAAAAGCTGAACTCAATATATCTCAGCATCTTTGCCTCGATCCCATGGGTTCCGGGGAGAGGAGGCCACATCTGGACAGCAAGCCCTCGAGGCGGGAAGCGCATCTAGTGCTTCAATGAAATGGTCCTGGACCCTGACCTTTCTGATGCTGATTGTGGGTGACCAGAGCGAGGTGCTCGTGGTGAGGAAACCCCTTAGGGGAGCCTCTGACCCCACAGCTGTGGTCACACAGAGCTGGGGCCTCGTCACTCAGAGCCTGTCCCTTACCAAAGTCATGGGACAGGATGGAAGGCAAGGTCCTTGAAATAAAAAGCTAGGCTGGCAAAAGTAGGTATGAAGATGCCACTCCCAAGCTTCCACTTCACTCTCTCGGACAGGATAAGTGACACTTACTCATTTTACAACACTCCCCAACATCCCCAAACGTGCTGGCACATGGCCAACCAGCAGACATCTTTCTTGAAGTGCACAAACTGAAATTTTACTTATTTTAACTACCAATCTTTTCTTTGATTACAAACCAGCTTGAAAATTTTCAGACATAAAACAGTGAAACAACAGAACAGATCTGGCATTTATAAAACTGTTCCACATATTTCTTTTATGGAAGAGTGATATTTTATGATAGATATTTTATGATAATTTCCTAACTACCAAAGCCAAGCCACGCCTCTTGCACCTGCACCTTGAGCCACACATCCAGTCTGTTCAGAGGTGGAAGGCTGAGGCTACGTGAAACAGAGGCGGCAAGTCACATTTCTGACTTTGGAAAACTCTTGAGCAAAAATGCTCCCAGCCACAAGAGAGGAAGTTTCTGTTTGGAAGCTGTGGTTTATTCAGATGCCTGTCATTCCCCTTGGACCGCCTTCAAATTCTCAGGATACAAGCCTCTTGCTCCCTGAGAAAGGTCTCTAAGTCCTCCCTGCATCCAGTGCTCTTCAAGACCCCCGACCCTGACCTAGCCCTGGCTTGGGGAGGCTCTATGTGGAGTAGCAGCCCTGTGCCATCCTGGGTCTTGACAATCTGTATTACTGCAGAACTGCATAACCCAAACTAGATGTCCTTCGGATCACTTTTACCTACACATTTTCTCCATGACAAAGGGAGGATAAGGATCAAGGCTCAGGGCTGGGGTTGTGGCTCAGTGGTAGAGCCCTCGTTCCTAGGTAAACATTTTCAATTCAGCTTGGAGAGAGGCCCAAACCAGGATTACTTCCTGAAGGCATTTATAGGCAATCTCACTGGCAAAATGACTTCCCAATGGTGAGCTCCTTCACCCCGCACCATGGGCTGAGGGGGCCCCACTGGGACTGAAGCATCTTCATTGGTTTCTAGGGGTTATGAAGATTTTCATCTAAGTTTTCAAGCCTGAAACAGCTGTTGTACTATTTTTCAGTAGATTGTTGGGATGTTCTCTGCACAGTCCTCCCACAAACGATGAGCGATTTAGCAGGTAATTTATTCCAGACCAGAATGACAAGATGACAACGAGGCTGTTTCCACATCCTTTAACGCACCATGTCCAGGGTTTTAAATGCCTTTTCTGTTGTTGCCTGATAAGAAGTCAAGTGTTTGCTTTACGTTCCCAGTTTTGGACGCTAAGGAGACCTGAGTGACTGGACACCGCCTGCTGGAGAAATAAGCAGTGACACTCTCGTCACCTTCCAGGTACTGATCTTGGTTTTTTGGCCAAAGCATTTACTTCTTCAGCAGAGCCCCTCTGGCCTGCTGAATTCCCAGTCACTGCTTCTCTTGAGCTCCCTGCCAGAGGACAGTCCCATTCTCTAACACAAGCTCAGGCTCAATGGCCATAACTGTAAGGTGTGTTCCACACAAGAACCTTTTACTTCAAAAGCTTCATGTCAGAATCAGGTGATTGCTGGCCTCACTCAAGGAGTATAGCTAAAATCAACATAAAGTAATATTCCTTTTGTTTTCTAACTTTTTGTAGGACTGGGGATTGAAATCAGGGCCTCAGCATGCTAGGCAAGTGCTCTACTGCTGAACTACATCCCCAGCCTTTTACACTGTTAAGTTTTTCAGACAGGGTCTAAGTTGTCCAATCTGAGCTCAAACTTGTGATCCTCCTCCCTCAGCCTCCTGAGTGGCTCATTTTTCCTTTTTCTTTTGGTACTAGGGATTGAACCCAGGGGCTCTTATTCACTGAGCCATATCCCCAGCCCTTTTTATTTTTTATTTTGAGGCAGGGGCTGCTAAATTGCTGGGACTGACCTCAAACTTGCAATCCTCAGCCTCAGCCCTCTCAGCTGCTGGAATCACAGGTGTGCGCCACCATGCCTGGCTTCATGTATTAATTTTTAAAGGGAGTGAGACAATTTATATGATAATCTGAAGGTGAGAGGCACCATTTTCTCAGAGGCCCTGATCAGGCTTCCTGCAGGGTTATTAGCTTATTAGCAAAAGACTTTCTGGGGCTCATACAAACACTGGTCAAAATGGGATGCAGCCCTGTCAGAGGCAGGGATGGGAGGCCGCCACGCCCATGGGGATTCCTCCTCCACCTCAGTGCCCCCAGGACCACAGTGACTCAGATCAACTTCATGCATGGACTGCAGCATCTTTTACAGCTTGTAAGTAATGCTCCCTAATTTGCAATATTTTTACCTTAATATCTCAAATGTCTCACTGGTTTGGATGACACCTAGAGTGACATGGAAAATACAGCCCTCCTGGACAGGGAAGTTCCCATCACAAAGTTCATCCCAGAGCTCAGAATTCGACTCTAGGGAGCTCTCTCGCCTACTCCAAATGAGGCAGGTGCCCTGGTAGCTGGCTGCGTGGCCTCCAGGAGACAGGTCCTGCCCAGCAGGGCTCCAAATTGATGCCACCTCAATGGGAGGTCTGAACTGCAAAGCCTCATGTCTGACCTCTTCCAGTCCTTAAAAGTAAGTACTAGTGGGCTAGGGATGTGGTTCAAGCGGTAGCGCGCTCGCCTGGCATGCGTGCGGCCCAGGTTTGATCCTCAGTTCCACATACAAATAAAGATGTTGTGTCCGCCGAGAACTAAAAAATAAATATTAAAATTCTCTCTCTCTTAAAAAAGGAAAAAAAAGTAAGTACTAGAAAAGCCACTTTGTATTGCTCAGTCACCATGAAGCAATTTCCCCTCCCCCATAGCTGCAAAAGCTGACCGCCCTTCTGAAATGCAGGTGGGACAGGCCGGAGCTCAATAACAGTGACAGTCAACTCCCATTTCTCTTACAGCCAAATGTCATATCACTGTGGAGACGAGACTTCTCCAGATATTTCTCCCAATTCCGAATCAATTTCATTTGATTCAAATCAAAACAGAGGGGCTTACAAATATGCTTCAGAAATATTAAAATCATAGTTTTGGCAAAAATCGCATGTGGTTATTAAACCTTTCTTCTGAAGGAGAAGCATAAATGTGGCTCAGACTAAACTATTTTAAAAGTCGATGAAGAGGAGACTCCACTGAAGATGGCCGCACTGCATTGGATGGAAATGAGAAATATGCGAAGCTCAGCTGGCAAAACGCACACCCAGATCGAAAAAGACTGAGTACATTTCTGTTAGGGAGGCTTAGGAGGGGCCTCCAACAAGCACTGTCTGTGGAGAAGAAAAAGGGGAAGGAAAGAGGGGAGGAGTGGTTCTGCCCAGAACTTTTTTTCTTTTAAGTAAAAGCCTTAGGGACTTTACATGGGCCGTCTCCTAACATCAAAACAGAAAATATTTCTTTGCCCTGAAGAACTTTTCATGTAGCAACACATTTACAAAACTGCTGCACAACACCCCCAGAGGGTAGTGAGTGACCTACTCTGCTCCCCAGAGGCCACAGGAAGCAAGGCCTCAGTGCCCCCTGTTCCATGGGGCTGGACAGGCAATGCAGAGGGTGGAGCTCCCTGGGCCTTCTGTGGCCTCAGAGGGAGTGAGACTCCCTCACCCTTTGATCCCGTCAGATGGTCCAGCCCAGGCTCAGCAGTGAGGTAGGCCTCTCCACCAGAGCAGATGGGTGGTGGACACGTCTGAAAACCAAACCCATCGGGCTGGGGATGTGGCTCAAGCGGTAGCGCCCTCGCCTGGCATGCGTGCGGCCCGGGTTCGATCCTCAGTACCACATACAAAGATGTTGTGTCTGCCAAAAACTAAAAAATAAATATTAAAAAAACAAAAAAACAAAAAACAAAAAAACCAAACCCATCAACCCACTAACTGTTCTATCCTGTCATATTTGCTGTTTTACAGTTGCATTTCTTTATTGTGCTGGGGATGGAGGCCGGGGTGTGAGCGTGCTGGGCGAGCGCTCTAGCGCTTTTTATTTTATTGTTTTTATTTTATTGTTATTTTTTGGATACAGGAGCTCCCTAAGTTGCCCAAGCTCGCCTCAAACTTGAAATCCTCCTGTCTCTGCCTCTGGAGTGGTGGGATCACAGGCCAGGCTGCTGTGCGCGGGTGCACTGCTTCTCAGAGAACCTCACATGGTTGACTCCCAAAAGCACCCCCCACACACACACTCACACACAGAATTTAGTCCTGGTTCACAAAGATCACATGACCTCACTGGTGTTTCCCAATGACTACAATTTATGAAGTAAAGAAATAATAATAATAATAATAATAAATTCCATTGCTGTGTTTTTTATAGAGTGTGGTGGCCCTGATGGTCGCTCCAGCAGCAGTCCACGTCTCCGTGTAATTTACTATGAGCCAGAGACCCTGTACTGGCCATAAATATTCAGAACCTGTTTCCATCAAGCCTGCATGAGCCTAGCACTGGTACAAATAACAGCAAATCAATGCCAACAAAATATTCTGCATGTAGGACAGTTTTTGAACCTCCTTTTGTTTCTTTTTGCTTTTTTTGGAGAGACAAAGGATGTTGGGACCATGGCTCTAACCAACCTATCAGAAAAGGACTCCAAATATTTATCAGTAAAAACAGCCAGTGTTCTTGGTGCCAGGGAGGGGAAAACACCAGCCTTGCTGTCAGAATCCAGTGCAACAGGAAATAGCACCAGTTCAACAATTGTGGGGTGGACAAAGCCTCCCTTTGTCAGTCACGAAAGCCTCAGCACTCTCCCTCTCCAGCTGACTGCATTATAGGACCCATTCATGTCACTGAAAAGTACTTGTTGGCACAGTGCACCTTCTTGATCCAGGGACTTCAGCAACAATCAAAACGGAACTTTTCGGGGTGGTATCTCTTTACACCAGCCCTGCTGAAACATTTTCAGATCATTGAAAAATGCAAACTATTACTACCAATGAGGTTCCTTTTTCAGGAGATCTATTTTTCTATAAAGCACTTTCAATCTGTATCAAAAAGGTAGAATTTTTCTGCAAGAATGTGTCTTTTTGATTCTACTTAGTGCTTAGTTAAATCTATTTTATCTTCCTCTTTTACTTATTTGGACAGAACTTTAGAATGCTCTAAGTCAGGCAATAAGAATCAGTGTTTGCTTTTGGGCAGGACTTGTGAACAGCAAGTGGGCTTTTGGACTTAAATTTCAAGGTGCTGTGTCTGTCCACTGGGACCCTGTCTGGCATACAATTCTATCCCCAGAGGTAAGATGGCACCCCAGGAAAACTGCCAGCACAACTTTCTGTCTCTGTGGGTCAAGCCCGGGAAAGAGAATGCAAAACTAATGTCCACAGAAATGCTGAAGGCTAAATGACACAGGCCTACCAGAGGGACACATTTCTTTGAGTGGCAGGGAAGAGCAAAAGCTTTAAGGAGTTTGATGACTTATTAGAATTTTTAAATAAACAGATCTACAATTTTAATTTCACATGTTGGCTACCATCTCCTGTCCTAAGCCAGGGACCAATCCCACCCCACCCCACTCCCATCCCTGATTCTCAAGATCCTTCTCACTTCCCAACAAAACAATACAACTGGCAAAGGAAGCCAGCAAGAACCTGTATCCACACACCAAGACCACCCGCAGCAAGCCAACGCATCACAGGCTGGGGCTGACGCATGGCCTAGGGCTGCTCTTGCAGCAGATGGACCTTTCACATCCTGGCAGGGAGCAGGATGCTCCTGCTGTAGCCAGAGGCTCCACCACATCACAGGACAAGTACACATACTTTCCTCTGGGTACCTTTCAGGACCTCAACAAGGTTACCATGCATGGAGACAGGACTGAGCAGGGCCGCACTTGCAAAGTTCAGTTGTGGCTGCTCCAAGAGCCCAGGATGATGCCCATTCCGCGCGGTGTGAGGCGCACACGGTGAGAAGAGAGGCTGTTGTGGGCAGGACGTAGCACCGCGGAAAGATCCCTAGCTGGCAGGGCAGAAGCAGGGCTTGATGCTCCAGTTTTCAAGATCATAATCCCAAGAATCCAGTTCAAAACCTACTTGGACATGTAGGCCAGAATGCAATTGCTACCATTGTTTCTCTGGGTCTAGGCTGAGGCCATTTGCTCCTGGATTGGTAATTAAAAAAAAGGTTTCTTCCTTAGCATGGAGACACAGCTTGAAGAGAAGACCGTGAGTCCTGGGAGCACTATGAAGGTGGCCGAATTTCTCCTGCACCTAGGGAATGACAGTTCCAACTGGGGAATGGAGAGAGGGCAGGGAAATATACCTAGCCCCTAGCATCAAAAATAAAATGTCAATTAAACTATGAGGGTCTCCACACCAGAAACATCCCTAAATCAAAACCCCAAAACCTTGAAAAATTCAATGGTTAAATTCTTTCTAAAAGTCACTTATTTACATATTATATGTCCAGTATATAATGTGTAGATAAATGCAGCCTGCAGTGAAAGTGACCAACCTACTGCACTGAACAGCACATTATAGGACAAATTCTTGAAAAGTTTCATCTCACATTGGTATATTTTAATAAAAAAATTAAAAATCAAAGAAAATGTCTGGCCAGGGCTGGGATGAGACAGGAACACTTCAGAACCCCAAGTGGAGAAAGCTCTTTGCCCCCCCTTCAGAGGGTGCCGGGTGTGGAGGGGAGGGACAGGTCATGCACAAAGGTACTTACGATCACACACCCAGCCCCCACCCCCTCAATAAAAAGAAGGAAAAGCCCCATCACTTAACACCAAACAGCAACGTCACCAGCACCCCTGCTCTGCTGCCCATCATGCCACATTGAAAGAGGAGGCCTGTGAGGAGAGGTGAGAAGAGCCGGGGGAGGAGGAGGTCTGCGCTTCAGTCTAGTTTCCACTTTCCATCTCTTACAGGAAGTCTTCAGTCATCTGATGCCTGACATGGAGCTCTGAGCAGAAACCGAGTACGTGGTGGCCACGACCGGGGTGCCGTTGTTGGTGGAGTAGCCTTGCCTCAACGTCTCAAAGTACGACGCCTGCACGGGTTTGTGATACTGCAGCACTTTTATGGCTTCTTCTATTTTAAACCATTCCCTCTTCCTTCCTGTGGAGAGAAATAAGTACAAGAGGGAAGCAACCAGGAGGCTTATGAACCTAGAATTTCTGAGAAAATGTAGAAGAAAACATTAAAGCAATGCTTCTCAACACTTTTGAAATGTGTATTTTATAAATTTTCCCCCTCTTTTCTTTTTTGTACCGGGATTGGACCCAGGGGCGCTTAACCACTGAGCCACATCCTCAGCCCTTTTTTGTATTTTATTTAGAGACAGGGTCTTGCTGAGTTGCTAAGTGCCTTGCTAAATTGCTGAGGCTGGCTTTTTTTTTTTTTTTTTTTTTTTTTAAAGAGAGAGTGAGAGAGAGAATTTTTAATATTTATTTTTTAGTTCTCGGCGGACACAACATCTTTGTTGGTATGTGGCGCTGAGGATCGAACCCGGGTCGCACGCATGCCAGGCGAGCGCGCCACCGCTTGAGCCACATCCCCAGCCCCAGCTGAGGCTGGCTTTGAACTTGCGATCCTCCTGCCTCAGCCTCCCGAGTTGCTGGGATTAYAGGCATGCACCGCCGTGCCCAGCCCTTATTTTCTTTTCTTACAAAAGAAAAGGAAGCATACTTTATATGCTCCAAATAGTATACAAATGCTTACTGCAGAAAACAGGTGCATAATTAAACATGAGACTAAGAGTGACCATGCCACATGACCTCCAGTGTGCTTCTCTAGGCCCTGGGACTCCCCCTGGCTTGGGTGAAAGGTCTAATAGTATTTCCACCTTTTGAAAAACTAACATGAGTATCAGCCGGCAGAATACTAGGACTGCTGGCCTATAATCAGTTATTTAATCAAAAAGTTAAGTGGTATATCTACCTAATGGAAAATATAAAAGAAGCCAGGCATGGTGGAACATGCCTCTAATCCCAGCTGCTTCGGGGGGCTGAGGTTGGGAGGCTGAGGGGGACTTCAAGTTTGAGAGCAGCCTGAGCAATTTGGTGAGACTGTTTCAAAAAAAGGGAAGGGGTCTGGATGTAGCTCTGTGGCAGAGCACCTGCCTGGAGGGTGTGAGGCTCTGGGTCCAATCCATAGCACTAAAAACAAAACGACAAACAGCAGAACTCAACACAAGCATTATTGTCTTCACAGTCTTTCTTAAATTTTTTTCTTTTGTGGTGCTGGGGACTGAGCCCAGGGCCTCATACATACTAGGCAAGATCACTATTCTGTGTATGACTTTTAAACTATCAACTGAGGTGGTTAATGCTTGAATCTTTTACCTCTAACGGAAAGCATATTCTGGAAAAGTGTAATATTAATTTCTGCTATAAACTGGCAGATGGATAAAATTCACCTGCCCAAATCCTTCCCCCTACTGTCGACATGCCTTGTCCCCATGCCCCCTCATGGGCGGTCTGTAGCCCTTCAGTTCTTAATGGCTTTGTATCTCTTAACAGTGCAATAAACTCATGTCAAAAGGTTCAGTGTGGACTGCTGGGGCCTGAGGAGGAGACAGAGAACGCGCTGCGGCCCCATTCTCAGCACTCTGTCAGGCAGGAGTTGCACACTTGTGATACTAATTTTTAAGGTGCTCTTGCTCTATTAATGTCCAAAAAAGCCTTTTACACCCACTTATGAGAACTGGTCCTAATGTGAGGGCTGGTCTAAAATGTGAGGAATAAGTTTGTACTCTTTCCTTTGGATGATCTTCCTCATATTACTAGAGAAAGACTGTGTCTTAAATGTACATCTCAATGCAGACAAATGAAGGTGCATTTATCTGATGGAATGTTACACAGGTGTTCCCCTGGCTGTGAATCCTAGCAGCAGACCACAGGAAGGTGGTCATGGAATAGTGTTGGTGAAGAGCAGAGCAGGGCGCGCGCGTGCGCGCGCGCACACACACACTAACTACAGCCACATTAAAATAGGAGGCTGAAAATCTGAAGTGAGATGCAGGTCTTCACCTAAGTAACTGACAAAGATGAAGAACAGGCAGCAGTGTGTGCTGAGACAGACACTTCGACCGACCCCTATGAGTGACACTGAGGGTTGGAATAGCCTTTCTGGAGAGCAGTTTCAATATACACCAGGAACCCTTCAAAGTGTGAATGCTTTACTGAGGTAGTCCTTAGGCTACAGGTCTTTCCCTGGAAGTTTTAAAACAGAAAAAACAAGGCTAAAGATCTTTTTCCTTTTTTTTTTTAATATTTATTTATGTTTTAGTTTTCGGCGGACACAACATCTTTGTTGGTATGTGGTGCTGAGGATTGAACCCGGGCTGCATGCATGCCAGGCGAGCGCGCTACCGCTTGAGCCACATCCCCAGCCCGATTTTAGCACATTTTAATTTTATTTTAAAATTCTGTTTTTTTTTTCAGCTTGCTTTTAGACAATGCAAAATAATAACTTTCTCAGGTTCAAAATATATGTGCTTATTTTATTAAACACACTCTTTTATGCCAGGCATGGTGGCGCACACCTGTAATCCCAGCAAATAGAGAGGCTGAGGCCAGAGCATCTCAAGTCAAGGTAAGCTTCAGCAATTCTGTGAAGATTCTCAGCAACTTAGCAAGACTGTGTCTTATTAAAAAAAAAAAAAGAAAAGAAAAAGAAAAAAAAAATCACCCTTCTACCATTTCTTTTCTTCAACAGGCTCTTTTGGTTCTGAGTAATGCCCTAAGGGCAAGTGTCAGTTATGGGGAGCTCTTCCAAGGCAGTCAGGTGACGGACTTACCAATGTTAACTGAGTCTTCCCAGTCTTCCAGCACTTCTGTGACAACCAGCACATAGACATACGTCCTGTGCTTCCTCTCCTGGTTCTGACAGACAAAAGAGAAGGGTAGAGGGAGAGTTTTTCCTTGGAGATGGAGATCGCAGAAACACACTCTTATGCACACGTCCAGAGAATTTAGACATAAAGATTCCTTTCACTTTTTCCCATCCTACAATCATGGCCTATTTAAAACAGGTTACACCTGAATTTTGGGCTATGAAAGTTAAGACTTTACACTCACTTTTCCCTCTCTTCCCTTAACTGCAACTCAAAGGAATGTTGAGACCTCTCGAGAAAAAGGACCATGAGCCAGGTGTGGTACACTCCTGTAATCCCAGCTACTCGGGATGCTGAGCAAGTCTGAGGCCTGCCTCAGCAATTTAGCAAGACCCTCAAAATAAAAAAGGAAGAGGGCTGGGGATGTGGCTCAGTGGTTAAGTGCCCCAGGTTCAATACCCAGTACAAAAAACCCCCCACACAAACAAACAAAAACCATGTAAATGTAACTAAATACAACGCCAGAAAAGAGACTATGGATGGCAGGAATGCCACAGAGGTCTCAGCTTTGGTGGCCCCATCAGACTGGCTGAGTATGGCAGGCCTCCCCTTTTCCTACGAACTCTGCTCCTCTCTATTCCCAGGACTTCTCAGGTCCTTCACCTTCTTTCACTACCATAGCCAATTTTCCTCCTATACTACAGACACCTAACTCCTATTTCTCTTGTTTTCTCTACACTTATCTCCCCTCCCTCACACCTTAGGAGAAGAGGAAAAAAAGTAGATATGGGATAAATAATGCCTAAAATTATTTTAGCTTTTTGGACATTAAAGGATTTAAAAAGAAAGAATGGTGCCTGGCGCTGTGGCACACACTTGTAATCCCAGCGGCTCAGGAGACTGAGACAGGAGAATCGCAAGTTCAAAGCCAGCCTCAGCAAAAGCAAGGTGCTAAGCAACTCAGTGAGACCTGTCTCTAAATAAAATACAAAATAGGGCTGGGGATGTGGCTCAGGGGTTGAATGCCCTTGAGTTCAATCCCCATATCAAAAAAGAAAGAAAGAATGCTATTCTCTATTGTGCTTTGTTTGACAATTCAGGAAAGCAGAGCTCTTTCCCAGATTAGGAATATGTGGTTATTAATATACCCATTTGTACCAAAGAGGTCAAGAGACTTACCTCAAAAATTCCAACTAATCTTCCCAATGTCCCTTTTACTCCGGCCTGAAAAAGGAAAAAGAAAAATTAACACAGACATTTTTACGTTGCTGGTCTCGCTGAGTCTTTTTGAGCAGTCTAATAAAAACCAAAAGGACACGCTGGCAGAGACTCCAGGGCTGAGTAGGCTACACCAAGGTTTCCTACATGTTACATCTAGACTGGTCACAGCAGGGTACATTCTGGAGAGGAGGAGTTCCTGTTCCTCTCATCTCTCCTGGTCTCTCTCCCCACTAAATGCTGGCCAAACAAGTAAGACGATTAATCAAGTCAATGAAACTATATAAAAATACAGTGAGGTATTCGCTACTTATTCTTTATGTAACACACATACACTGAATGCCTGAGCTAAGCCAGAGCAGTGTCGTGCCAGAGGTGCGCAGAGAACAGTTCGGGCAGGACCCTCGAGAGCAAGACCCTCAGTTGGCTGGTTTGTGACTCTCTATATACAATATACCAGAAGATAATGCAGGACCCCCCAGGACCTCTGCAAAGCCCAAGCCAACAAACATATAAACATGGTAATCCTAGTGCAGGGTATTGGGCCAGACATGTACTGAGTGATGTGACCAAGAGTGACAGGAAGAGGGCCAACCTCAGAGATTATACCTTCCTAAAATATAATTTCCATCTTCCACCAGCCCCTTCAAATTTTAGATTTATGTCTTTCTTCCTCGCTCACTCTCTCTCCCTCATCCCCATGCCTTCTTTTAAAATTTATGATTTTTTAAAATACCTTTGTATTTATTCTTATGTGGTGCTGAAGATCAAACCCAGTGTCTCACATGTGCTAGGCGAGCACTCTACCGCTGAGCCCCAGACGCAGCCCCAGGCCATCATCCCTATGCCTTTTAACTTCACTTTAATATAGGGTCTAGCCAAGTTGCTGAGGCTGGTCTTGAACTTGTGATCCTACCTCCCAAGTAACACTAGGCTAGATTTGCTTTTTTCTGATGCACTGCATGTGGAATTTTTTTTTTTTTTTTTTTTTTTTTTTGTGGTAATGGGGACTGAACCTAGTTCAGGACAATTTACCACTGAATTAGAACCCAGTCCTGTGCTGGGGTTGTGGCTCAGTGGTAGAGCACTCGCCTATCATGTGTGAAACACTGGGTTCAACCTTCAGCACCACAGAAAAGTAAAATAAAGGTATCATGTCCATCTACAGCTAAAAATATTTAAAAAAAAAAAAAAAGAACCGAAGTCCTTTTTATTTTTTATTCTGAAACAGGATCTCATTAAGTTGCTGAGGCAGGCATTGAACTTGCAATCCTCCTGCCTCAGCCTCAGCCGGGATTACAGGTGTGTACCGCTGTGCCTGGCGACAGGTGAATTTTTCATGAGTGTTTTTGCAATAGATAAAAAATATGTCCCCAGAACAGATGAATTTTTCAGTCTATTCCAATTCACTAATTTTCTGTTCAAGTGTATGCATTCCAACCTATTTCCATCATGTATACTTTTGTTTCCATGAAACACACATACTCTCTCTCTTGAGGTGCTAGGAAATTGAAACTAGAGCATCCTAGGCCAGTGTTTATATTTTGAAGTACTGGGGATTGAGCCCAGAGGCACTCTACCACTGAGCTACATCCTTAGTACTTTTAATTTTATTTAAAAATATTTTTTTAGTTGTAGATGAATTCAATACCTTTATTCTATTTTTCTGTGGTGCTGAGGATCAAACCCAGTGCCCACGTGTGCTAAGCAAGTGCTCTGCCACTGAGTCACAACCCCAGCCCAGCACTTTTTATTTTACCTAGATAAGCTGTCACAAAGTTACTGAGGCTGGCCTTGAACTTGTGATCCTCCTGCCTCAGGCTCTGAGTTGCTGTGATTGCAGGAGTGTGCCCCTGTGCTAGGTAAGTGTTTATTCTTTTAAAACATAAGTTATTCCTTCATTTACTCGTTGAATGTCTTGAATATAAATTTAAGTTCCATGCTACAAAATCCTTCATCTCTGATTAATTCCTCCTGCACTAGCTGAGGCTGCTTTCCCCACACTCTCCAGGCCAGCTCATGGCACAGTCATCTAGGTGATATGGGGCACTGCAGGGAGAGTCACGGGTCAGAGTCAGGCATGGCTCTGTCCTTTGCTGGGCAGGGCACCTGTGTTCTCTCTCTGCCTAGGCTCAGGTCTTTCTGAACGTCTCAGCTCCTGGTGTCCTTTCATCCCACATCCCATTTCAGGAGGGGCACTTGGACTCCGCTCACTCCACGGGTTCAACCACGAGCCACCCAAGGCCAGACAGGCTTTGTCTTTTCTTCGCTGTTCTGAAATTCTGTTTGTGATTCATAAGTGTTCACCTTCCTTTTGGATAAGACTATTTAGTCTTTTTGGCAATGTCTTTTTTTTTTTTTTTTTTTAAGAGAGAGTGAGAGAGGAGAGAGAGAG